ATCAAGAAACCCCTATCACACCAATATGAATCTCTTAAGGGACCCAAGGTTCCTGAGGAATATACACTTTACCAGGGAGCACAACAAGAGGGGCCTGAAGAAAATGCGGGCCAACAATACCAAGGACATGGTTACTTGTGCCAAGACTATCAAGGCTCTTGCCCAAAGAAGCCGATCCTAAGAACCCAATTGGCATCAACTGCAAGGTCAGTCAATTGGACTACATTGTCCATCCCAAGCTTGGCAAGCCCACTCAGGCACATATAGCCAAAGGTCTGGGGTTCTGCCAACCAAAGTCCAAAGCCAAGGCTCAAAGTAAGGGTGATGCTCCAGACAAGGCCTCAACTCAAGCTTGCAGATGTATCCAGGCTCCCCCAAAGGCTCCAAAGTATATTTCTCCATGTGAGGATAGAGGGACTGGATGATCCCTGGGCTACCATATGTCTGTAGCTGGTATCCTCTTGTGCTACTTGTACAAATAAACCAAAGGCAAGCACTCATTCATCTATGTCAAGAAATTTGGAGGACAGCTACCTGGCCAATAGACTGCAAGCTCCATATCTGTACCCATTCCAAAGAAAGGTTACCAAACAGAATGGTCAAACTATAGAACGATATCAATGGTATCATACACAAGTAAACTTTTACTTAAGATCATCCAAGAATGGTTTTAGCAGCACATTAACTGCCAGAAATTCAGACCGGATTCAGATGAGGACATGGAAAAAGGGATATCGTTGCTGATGTCTGATGCATCTTGAATAAAAGCAGAAAATACCAGAAAGATGTTTACTTGTGTTTCAATGACCATGCAACAGTATTTGACTGTGAGGACCATACTAAACTTTGGATAACTTTGAGAAGAATGGGAATTCCAGAACAATTCCATTGTGTTCATTTGGAACATGTACATGGGTCAAGAGTTAAATGTAAGAACAGGACAAGGGAGTGCTGCATGGTTAAAATCAAGAAAAGTATGTGCCATGGGGGCATAGGAGAGGGAGGGAGGGGAGAAATGAGGAGCTGATGCCAGGGGCTCAAGTTGACATCACAAGAAAAGATTTGGCACACTGAACACTAATGAGAGAAGACCTGATAGGCTGTGGGAGGACATTAAGACCATCATTAATGAAGAAAGTACTATATCATTTAAAAAGAAATGAAAGAAGGAAAAGATCAAAGATGGTATCAGAAGAGACTGAAACTTGTTCTTAATCATAGAATAGCTAAAGCAATTGGAAGAAAGGTTGAAGTCAAGGAGCTGAGCTGAATAGAAAATCTCAAAAGGCAGCTTAAAAAGACAAAGTAAAGTATTACAACAAAATGTGCAAGGACCAAAAATTAGACACACAAAAAAGGAAGTACATGCTCAGCATATCTGAAACTGAAAGAACTCAAGAAAAAATTCAAGCCTTGAGCTGCAACTTGGAAAGACTTTATAAATAAAATATTGAATGATTAAGTAACCACGAAGAGAAGATAGAAACAATTCACAGAGTCACTGTACAAAAAAGAACATGTTGACATTCCACCATTACAGGAGGTAGCATATGAGGGGGTACCAAAAAAAACCTCGAAAAAGCTCTGCTGGGAGGAGCTTTCATATTAAGCACTTTTCTTGCTAGGCAAGCATCGAGTAACTCACTCTGAGTTAGTGTACCAGTGGTATCGCCTGGAAAGCTTCTCTCTGGTCCAAGTGAATTTTTTTGTGAAAGCAGTTTCACTTGAACCATATTTTTTGTGATGGCCGATTTAAGAGAATAGCATGTGGCTGTGAAATCGTGTTTCATGCTTGAGAAAATGCCACAGAAACTGTTGCGATGTTGAACACAGCTTACAAGGACAGCACTATAGGAAAAACTCAAGTGTATGAGTGGTTTTCTTGGCTCAAAAAAGGTGAAATGTTGATTAATGACAAACCTCATTCTGGATGTCCGTCAACTTCCTGAACAGACAAAAATGTCGATGTGTAGGGTACTTGGTACCAAGTTAGACTGTTATTCAAGCTTTCTATTTAGAAGTTCTGAAAAGACAGTATAACAGTGTGCAACAAAAAAGGCCTGATTTGTGGCTGACAGGACACTGGTTTTGTGATCACTACAACGGACCTGCTCACACAGCCATCGCAGTGCGTGAGTTTTTGGCAAAAAAGCATGCCTCTTTTGGCCCTTCACACCTTACTCACCTGACCTTGTTCCGTGCAACTTCTTTCTGTTTCCGTGGATGGAGAGGAACATGAAAGGACAGCGATTTGATGACATAGAAGCGGTTAAGAAAAACACTAGGAATGTGCTGTTAGCCATCCAAACAGATGAGTTTGAAAAATGTTTCCACCCCGCTGTGCCTCCCCTCAGAGGCGCCGGACAGTGTAATGTAAGATACAAGAATAATTTATAAATTATTAGGGGGGCATGGGGGAAAGGGGAGGGGGAAGGGAAGGTGGGGGGGAAGGAAGATGAGCGGATTCCGGGAACCCAGGAGGCAAGAGAATTTTGGGAATG